TAAAAACTCAATGAAATGAGAACAAAAGATAACTTCCTCGAAGGAATAAATAATACCTAACAAAAATCTATAGCTAACATCATATTTAATGATGAAAAACTAGAATCTTTTCCAGTAACATCACAAAAAAAGCTAATGCTTTAGTTGTAGATTGACACAATACATTCATTCATTTATTTGTTTGTTTGTTTTTGTGATGCTGAGGATTGCATATGGTGCCTCACACATGCTGGCCAAGTGCTCTACCACCGGGCTACAACTCCAGCCCTCTCACCACTGTTTCTTCACATCATACTAGAAATCCTAGCTAAAGCAAGACACAAGTAAAGGAAATAAAAAGTACATGGATTGGGAAATAAAAGTGTCCTTTTTTATAGATGACATGACTGTTTATGTAGAAAATCCTAAAGAATGGGCAACCTCTGGAATTACTAAGTGATTATAGCATATCAAAGTTATAGAATGCAAGATTAGTATACAAAAGTCAATTACTTTCCTATACACTAGCAATGAACAAATGGAACAAATAAAACTCAAAATATATTACATTTCCATTAGCAATCTTTAAAATGAATCATTTTATAAATCCGACAAATTGTGTATAAGATCTACATGAGGGGAACAACAAAACTTCAGTGAATTAAATCAAAGAATTACTAAATAAATAAAGACATACTCCATGTTCATAGACAAGAAAGTATCAATATTGTCAGGGTGTCAGCAGTATCTGAGGACATTTCTGGTTATCACAATTGAGGATGTTCCACTGCCACCTAGTAGGCAGATATGAGGGATGTTGGTAAGTATTTTACAATGCATAGGACAGTTCCTCAAAACAAAGAGTAATTAAGCTCCAATAACATTAGTGCCAAGGTTGAGAAACACTAGATTGAGTCCATAAATCTGTACACAACACCTTTCTCCAAAGGTGTTAGAGTAATGAAAGTCTTTTCTCTGAAAGGTGCTAGAATAAATGGATGTGCATATGAGGTGGAGGGAGAAGACATCTGATGATATCATCCCATAATACCCCAAATTAATTCAAAAACTGATCACATAATTAATTGAAGAAAATACACATCTTTTGAAAATACAGGAGGAAAACCTTTGACAGGTATAATTAGGCAAAGATTTCATAGATACAGAATTAAAAGGATGATAGATAAAAGAAAAAAATTCCATTCATCAAAAGTAAATGGAATTAAAGATAGCACTAAGAAAATAAAAATAAAATAAAATATTCATAATGCATACATACAGTCAAAATTTTGTGAAAAATCTTATTATTTATGTATGCAATTTAGGAAAATGAACAAAAACTCTGAATATGTATTTCATGAAAGAAAATATACAAACAGCCAGTAATCACATGAAAAGATGCTAACCATCAAAAGTCATTCAGATAAATGCCATTGGATTAGATACCATTCCCCACTTTCCCCTGTAAAAAACACTAAAATGAAAATGACTGAAAATACCAAGCTCTAAGAGGATAAATCAAAGAGAATTCTTATACATCAGCAGTTAAGAATTTAAAATGGAACAAAACTTTCAAAAAGTGTTTGGCACCTAGTTATAAAGTTAAATACACTTACCATGTGATCCAGCAAGTCAATACCTAAATATGTATAAACAAAAATAAAAATATGTCCCAACAATTTTATGCAAACATTCATAGCAGCCCCTAACTTTAAGCAATCTAAGTATTTAACAATAAGTGAATAGATAAAAAGATACTATATGCCTGTATAAGAAAATATTATTCAGTAACTGAAAGGTATAAATACACCTCCCCGTCACATACACACACAAAGAATCTCAAAACACATTACGATGAACCAAGGTATCCAGACATAGAAGAATCTAAATTATATTTTATATAAAATTATAGAAACGATGAAATGGGGCTAGGTTCAGTAGTAGAGCACTTGTCTAGCATGTATGAGGCCCTGGGGTTCAAACCCAGTACATGGGGGGGGCGGGGGGGAAGGAAAGGTGAAACAAACAAATAGCAAGAGAATACAGATTAGTGGTTGCTTGGGACCAGAGATCATTTGAGGAGCATGACTAGACAATAATGAGAAAGCTTCTTGAACTGATGCAAATGTTCTATATCTTGATTATGATGCTTATGTTCCCTATAAGTATCTTAAACTTGAGTGTTCTTTGCCAAATATAGGTACACACGTTCCTTAATAAAGGATGCAATTAATTTTACGTAGAACATATCTAAAAAAGTTGATAGGCTTTGGGGTACAGCAAATTAGGTACAGATAGGTTAACAGAATTAAGCAACAAATCAGGGTTGAATCCAGTTTTTCCCTTAAATTTTCCCTTAAGTTTTTCATTTAAGGAAAGAGAGAGGGGAGTCAATTGATTACTAAGGAACAATACTGATGCTATATTTGTACTCCTCCCCCAAAAAAATCTTGTTGTTAAATAAAATTTACTTACTTCCAGTTTGAAATGACATCTCAAGAGCTAGCAAATGTGAAATCACCATTTCTAGCACTCATGTAGTTTTACAAACTAACCATCACACTGAACTTCTTATGTTTCCTATTAGTATCCTATCCTGGAGTGTTCTTGGCCAAATACTTCCAATTAATAAATAGGATACATCTTTCCTTTTAGGCAATTTTACATTTCTTTTAGTGATGTTTTATAGTTTTCATTGTAAATGGTTTTCTGCACCTTGGTTAAGTTTATACCTAGGTATTTTCTTAACTTGTATGCTATTATAAATGGAATTGCTCTCTTTATTTTCTTTTCAATTCTACTTGGTGTAGAAACAACTGGTTTTTGTATATTAATAATTTAATCTGAAACTTGTTTGAAACCATAAATAGCACCACTCTTGGCTATTTTTAATGAGACATCACTAAAATAAATTATTTACAAATTTATAGGAAAAAGTCAATTCACAAGCATCAAATCACAGGAAAGGTTCAGAAATTTGGGAATTCGCAAATTCAAAAACCAAATTAAAAACCTTGGAAAAACTTTAAGATGACAAGAAACAATGCACTAGGGACTTATTCCAAAAACCCTAAAAAGAGAATCATTATCAATCAATTAGCAATCCCTACACCCAGACCACATGCTTCTGTTTAACCTGTCAGTGAGATTCTATAATTACTACATACTAAAAATAGCCATATCTTAAATTCTTTAACTTTCCTCTTGGGAGTAGTTACAGTAAATGCCCTACCTTTTATACTAGATATGCTTCAGGTAAACAATTTATATTTTAGTTCCTAGTTCTTCAGATCAAAAGGCACCATATCTGGACCTGAGAATAGACACTGCAGCACACCAAACCCTTCCTCTATCACCTAGAAATCCTGGACTTTTCAGTCCAAGGTCTTAGTAAGACAGAACTTTCAGATTTTCTCCTATGGAGACAAGATATGTAAATTTGCCTATGAGATGCAGGCTTCAAATACATGGTGACCAAAAGAGCACTGCAATATATTACTTCAGTTTACCAAATATCTCTTGCTCTCTGCCTTTCAGATGGATGGTAAGATCTCATTAGCTAGCCCCATTATGATTGGAGTTTGGGGACATGTGGACATAAATTGGAATTGAAAATGTCAACTCCAGGTCAGAGTACTTAATTATTGATACAAAATCTAACAGGGCTCTCTCACTCTGAAGTGATATACTATATTGAGTATATTTCAATGTTCCGCATAGGAAATATACTCAATATAGCTGCCATGATGGCAACATGAGACATAAACCGAAGAAAACCTTCAATATAATGCAGCATGAGTAAAATATAAATGTTTGTTTCCTGGAGCCAGAGTCTAGGAAATATTTCGACTAACATACGTTTTATGCTGCTTCAAAGTTCTATGACTTGAATTTTTCTCTGTGATATTTCTGTGCATAAATGAAGTCATTGCACTTTATACTGCTGATGGCATGGTATTTCACCACTCAAAGTAGTATGATTGTTATATCCAATTTATAAAATTCCCTGTGTGTTCCTTTTTTCAAGCCATTTATTGAAAGAACACTGAAAAATATTTAATAGAACTGGTCCCAATCTTCAGGATGAGGTGGCACATCTATAAATCTATTTAAATTCGCTATTTAATTTTGTTTTCTAAATTGTAGCTAATTTTCTTTTCATCCTATAAACAGTACATTTAAATAAAGTTGATTTAATTTTCAACTATATTATTGAAAAGTTGTACAAGAACATCTTGCATACATTATTTATACTAGGATACATCTACAAATTCTCCTCAGTTGATTCCTTAATCATTCCAATCTTTAAAGACAATAAACATAAAAAGGGAAAAAAAGTAATAGAAAAATTCAAACAGAAACCATGTGAAAAAAATGTAATTCAAGTATAAGTAAGTGTTTTGTTACCCCCATTAATATGTACAATTTTTAAGTTTTTAACATATTGGTTAAAAATAAATTATATATGTGTTATTATTTATTTATTTTGGTACTGTGGATTGAACCCAGAAGGTTTCTACCTCTAAGCTACATTCCCAGCCCTTTTTATTTTATTTTTTTTTTTGAGACAGAGTCTCACTAATTTGCTAAGGTTGGCCTCAAACTTGTGATCCTCCTATTTCAGCCTCCGGAGTCACTAGGATTACAGGTATGCACCACTACACCCTGCCTGAATTTTCAAAATTCAAATGTTATTAACTTCTGGTCACTAAAAGTCATTCCAGTGCCATAGTGCACTTGTAGTTATCCCTTTGCTTCTGCTATTTGTTGAATATTATTACAACCCTGAAATTAACATAATAATCATTAATTTGGGAGCAAGCCCACATATTTTAGGACTTTAGTCCTATTTTAGGTCTATCATAAAAATCTCAAAATTTGAGTTTACATAAGCATACTTTTTCTCCAAAATACACCAAGTGAAGTAAATGGCATGAAACTGAACAAACAGCTCTAGAGCTCTCAGAGGAGGAGAGTCAAAAGAAAAGCATAAATATACACTGCATGTGCACTTTTATTACCTGAGTATTTAGCAACTCTTCACACTTGTGGGCTTGTTTCTCAATTGCACAGATGTACTGTTTTTCAATAGCTTCTACTTGTTGCTTAACTGAAGACTGCAGTAGTGCCTATAAAGAAGCAAAGGAAATCATTTTGATCACAAACAACCTGAGGGTATACTGTTGGCATGTGAAGTTTTTGACAGTTGTACAAATTTGAAATATAACACCCCTTTTGCATTACAAAATACATATTTCTCAACAGAGAAGTCCATTTATAGATATTACTTTAAGCTTTCAGTTTTAGGTTTTCCTATTTGCTAATATTATAGTTTTTTTGGCTCACCTATTCATTCCACACACCTTCTCTTTAAGAAAAGCCAAGTCATAGAAAATGATAAAGAGAGTGAGTAGTTCTGTTAAATATAAATTCAGTTCAGTGAAGACCACACAGGACAAGGAGCATATGAAAGCTGCTGAAAAAAAAAAAGAAAGAAAGAAAAAGAAAAAAGAAACAAGAAAAAAAAAAGCCAGACATATTTCACTGGTTGACAAAACTCCACATCCTCTCGGCACACTGTAAGATCCCATGGGCCAAGCATGATCTTCAAGACCACAAGTCAAGTAGAAGCAGATGGAAACTCTGAACAACTTCAAACATAAAATAACTGCCCCCCAGGAAGTTCACGCCTCTAATGCAAAAAAGATATAAGTTAATGTATGTAACTCAGAATCTCAAGGCAATATTCATAAAAAGTAATAAAATGTGAGACTCGACAATCATAGTATAAATGCAAGAAATTAAGTAATATATAAAGATATAACCACTGTTCTAAGAAAAGCCAAATCATCATTTGAAGATGTTCCACCAACTCACTTCCTTACTGGAGATGTTTAAAATATTATAATCTCTTTTCTTTTCCTTTAAAAAACTTTATTTATGTTATGCTAACATGTTTGTAATGGTCTCTTCATGCTATTTATAAATTCTAAATCGTCCTAAAATAAGCACTCAACCATGTACATAGAGCTCTTTAGTCAATATTCTATTTTTAAAGGTCTATCTGGATAATAAACTACTCATAATCAGAATAGTAAGTTGAACAGACAAATCTTATAGAAAACAGACCATTGGCACATTCACTGAGAAAAGAAAAATAAGTCAAATCCCTTAATCTCTGTTTTGAAAACAGATTTATTAAGTTGGAAACAACATGCATTAAAATGATAAATAAATAGACATGTATTTTCAAAAATAGACAAAAGTATTTTTTAAAGGAATGACTAAGTCTCAAATTTTCAGATAATTTTTTTTCCAATTCAGACTATCTGATGATGCTACTACTACTACATTTCATTAGTTACCACTGAGAAACTGCAGAATTACTAGTAAATTAGTAAAGAAAAATAATATTAGGAATTGCTTACCAGAGCCGTATTAGGCCTCAATATATATATAAGATGTGTCTTCTGGATTCCATAATGATAGATTTATATACAGCATCAAAAGTTAATCCATTACACTGTATCTAGATGCTGTAAATCTTTAATTTACCTTTGGCAAAGTGTAATATTTGGTGAATTTATAAAATTTTAATTGGAGAATAATGAAGACAATTCCCTTGGAATAATCATAGTGTCTTTTGTAAAGACAAAAATATCATTCTTTGGGGTGGGGGGTGGGGACTAAAGATATGGCAGAACTGTTTGCACAGTTACAAGTTATTCCAAATTTAAATAGACAATCATAATTTTTAGTCAACTATACTCTTTGTAGGCCCAAATTAATAAAATAAAATAACATTCTTTTTACATAATTAAAAACACAACTTGAATAGTAATATTTCCTTTACTGATTGATTTATATATAATATACTCATTTTCTTCCAGACATCAAGGAGGATCATGAATTAAGTCAGAGCTAAAACTAAGGTTGTGGATCAAAAAGAGGAGCAATGCAAAAGTAACTAGCTTCCTATAGAGTTCAAACCTGTCAGTTTAGCCTCACTCAAGTCATTTATACGTACAAAGGGGATACAAAGGGAGGTACGTATAGATTTTTTAAAAATATCTTTACTCAATTAGTTTAGTCTAACATTGAAGACAAATATTCTCTTGATAATCACATACTATAGTTATGTGCAGGGTGCATAACAAAGAAAGAAAAGATACTCAAGATCGCCTGTAAAGACTCAGTACTATACACAAGAATATAAAATAGATAAGAATAACTAGAGCGTGAAAGGTAAAGTTAATAAGATGGAAATGGTGAGGTAGGGAGGAATGAAATTAGACAAGTGCCAGATATTAAAAGATCTTGTACAGCACAACAAGGATTTTAAAATTTTGACCCACACTACTCAATAGAGGGATTATTAGTGCCATAGTCCTAGAAAATGAGGTAATTTTCTAAAACTGTCCTTACTCCTAGAATATTAACCATTATGGACATACTTATGTTTACATATTAGTATTAGCCAACTGCTTTTATGGCTTGATTTACTATTGTGTAATTGAATATGTATCATTCAATGTAATATAACATAATAACTGCTTTTAAGTTTCTCATATATTTTAAGTACAAAAATGAACATAGAGCTTAATTTTCCAATTCATTGTTTTCTTCTGCAATTGTCTTTATAAATACTAAAAACACAAGTAAGCATTTCTTCACTTAATACAACATTATAAAAAGATATATGAAATTATTTCCTTTCTAATCTATTTTAAGTCATTCTTAACACACAGAAAAAGCATTAAAATTCTCCTGGTATATATATTAGAGATAGAAATGCAAGATGTATATCCATGTATTCCATATTGAAAAGAATGCTACCAAGGGCAAGAAATGTTTTGTACCTAATAAACTTAGGTCTTGGTCACTGTTCTATCAGAGATTGGCAGTATTATCTCAGCGAATCCAACTCACTAAGCTTGGGGAAAACTCATTACCATACTTGAGGAACACTACAATTTTAGAAGTGTGAGCAAGATTATAGGTTCCTTTAGTACAAGAACTCAGTGGTACTTGTCTCTATACCCATGTGCACTCATTGTACTGTTCCCTGCACAAAGTGTGGGTAATGCTATTCCCCAAATGGTAGTCCATTTTTTAAAAAAATAACTTCTACCATTAGAAAATGTAGGCCCAACTCCCCATCATATTGGCTTAGGAACTGACTTCCTTAAAAAGACTTCTAAGGCACAAGAAATAAAATCAAGATCAATAATTGGGATGGTATCAAACAAAAAGCTTCTTCACAGCAAGAAAACAATCAAGAAAATAAAGAGAGAGACTACAGAATGGTAGTCTTTATCACATGGACCTCAAATAGAGCACTGATCTCCATGATATACAAAGAACTCAAAAACTTAACATCAATAAAAACAAAGAATTCAATCAGTAAATGAGCAAAGGAACTGAACAGGCACTTCACAGAAGAAGAAATACGAATGGTCGAAAAATACATGCAAGCTGGGCGTAGTGATGCTCGCCTATAATCCCAACAGCTGGGGAGGTTGAGGCAGGTTGATGGATCTCGAATTCAAAGCCAGCCTCAGCAAAAGCAAGGTGCTAAGCAACTCACTGAAAGAGACACTGTCTCTAAATAAAACACAAAATGGGCTGGGGATTGGCTCAGTGGCCAAGTACCCCAAGTTCAATCCCAGTAGCTCAAATACTAGAAACTATTGATGTGCATTTCTTTAATGAATTGGATGTATGCTGGAATTTAAATGACAAAAAAGAAGCATATCCAAAGTGGACTACTGCCATCAGATTACAATTCATTGTTTCAATAAATCTGCCAATTTTTCTTCTCCCTTGAAATAGCCAAACTTTTACAGATCAGATTCCAGCCTCGTGAAATTAATTACTTGTCCAGATTTGCAGAGCAGATGTGTCTTTCAGAACCAGATGGTATCTGAAACATTAATATGATCTTGGTAGTTATGAAGACCAGAAAAGAATACTAGTTACAACAGTTATTATTATTACTTTGAAAGTCACAAAAATTTTATCTGTCCATCCTTTCAGTTACACTTACTTACACAAATGGAGAAAAGTATAAAGCTACAGAGCAATCCAGAGGCAAAACTTACCATAAACACAATATTCCAACTAGGATTTAAGCTGTAGAAAACGGGAATCTTTGCTCAACTCACAGACACACACGATGTATCTATGACAATGTCTAGCACATAAATGCCATTCAACAAATGTGCTGAATCAACTGAAAAATCAATCCTGATTTTGATATGTCCAAATCTGTCTATTTGCTTTTCAAGCATCAATTTTTCTCTATCATTTTAAAATATTTCAGTCTTTTTTGTTCAAACTTCTTTTCTTCTTTCAAACTTTCTTTTCCCATCATAGCTAAAAAGAAAAGGAGCATAACTGGAAGGTATCTGCAAAATACTTAAATTAAGACTGTGAAGGGATACTTTTATATTTTTTATGGTGCAAATCATCTTTTTGAAGATGGTGGAATGAGATGAAAATCATTACCTTTAGGTACATGTATGAGTGCACGTGTGGTGCGACTCTACATTGTGCAGAACCAGAGAAATGAAAAGTTGTAGTCCAACTATGTACAATGAATCAAAATGCATTCTACTATTATGTATGACTAATTAGAACAAATAAAAAAACTTCCTTTTGAGAAAAAGGGTACTTCAAATTTTATAAAGCCATTAAGTTGTTAGCATGTTCTGTAATATTCCCTAAAAAATTTCAAACATAAGCAAATTTTTAAAATTATTTTTTATTTTGTCATATAATTATACATAATACTTGGATTATAAGCAAGTTTTATTATTTAAAAGGAAAGCCCCCTTGAATAAAACTTTGTAAAAACTTGACTAAAGCACCTATGTAAAAAAAATGATCTCTTACTGAATTATTCATTTATCTTTTTCCATGAGAAAGGTTTTAAATACCTACTTTACAGATTAAGAAACAAACACTATGATTAAGAGATGTGCCCCAAATACAGAAAAGACAGTATAACAAATAATTGAATTTCACTCCATCCATTTGCTTCTGTTTGTCTTAGCTACTCTAACCCAGCTAAAGCAGACTTCTTTTTCTGAAAAAAGCACTTATTCTCATTTTTGTCATTCATTTAATT